TTTACAATCAGAAAATATTGCAAACATCTCGTCATGATGTCACCAACAAATTGCTAAATTTCTATTAGTATCCTGGCAATCTTGTCACAAGATTCTGCTAGATTGTTCAACTTTGTAAAATTTCTATGCATCCCCAAAATCTTGTGGGCACATCTTCACAATACACTAAAATTAGAATCCTCATGGCAATCTCATTACGTGATGCCTGTTAGATAGTGGTGATCTTATTCATCACAGAGAGATTTATAAAAACTACAAGTTTCTGTAAAGTATTGTCATCAATTTTACCTCCAATTGTGGAATTAAGCTCCAACTCAGGTGTAATTTGGTGTGTCCATTATCCCTGCTGCTTCAGGCCATAAATCAGGTTATAAAATAAATATTAATGGCAAATGGCTGCAAATTTGAATTGAAATGCATATTCTGATAGACAGCCATCAGAATTGGTGGTTTGTGCCACAAGGATGTGCTGGGGAGCCAAGTTCTACAAGTGAAGACTTAGTCAATCAGATGTGCATTGTTCTACTACTTCAAAAATATCAATGCCACCTTTAATGTCAAATGAGTTAGACATAAAATGGTTGTTAGCACACATTATTATTACAGAGGTAATAGTAAGCAATCATGTATTAGTATTAGTATGTTTCATAATCATGGCTGGAACATAGTAGGTGCAGACACAGAAATAATCATTAGTATTAGACTGCAGAGTATAGGAGCAGCACATTCAACATGCATCTCTGCTGGCATTGTTGAACTGCTGATAATAATAAGTATTCCCTCTGCAAGGATCTCTTCCAGATTTGCATCCTTTATCAAAAAATGAACAAGTTAATCACATACAAATTATCAATAATATTGCTCAACAACTTACATTAGGGACTGTGGCAGATCCACATTGAAGGACAGTCCCAACAATATCTAATTGTGGTTGTAAAAGTTTCAGAAGGGATTTAATAATAATAATGTTTGATGTTCTCTGACAAAGCTCTGCAAGTCAACAAAGGCAAATTTCTTCCAATCATCAACTACTATCTTATTTTGGTGGTTAATCAGTGCTCAACAACAGGTGCCAATGAGACCTTTGTGGCCAAGGGTGCACTTGAAAATGTCTTCAGCAATGGTGACAGAATCAAACTTAACACATTCTTCTTTAAAGTATTGGTCTAAAAGATTCCCAATTACAATGTCTTTTATTTTGAATAGTTCAGGTGTGACAATTGCTTCCACTGTGAATGGTGAGAGAAAACCAGGTCTTTTGAGAAGCTGCTTGATAGTCTTGATGCCTACAAGTGTGATAGCAGGCAATGTTCATTCCTTGTCCTATCACTTTTAATATTAAGTAAACACAACATGCCCAGTAGACTATTAATGATTGCAGGATCTTTGCTGACAAGATATGAGGCCTCATCAATAATGAGAATTATCAGCTGTGATAAACTCCACTGCAGAAAGAAACCCTTGAATTTACATGCAATGATTTGTCAAAGGCAAACAAAGTTGGATTCAAGGCATGCAGTTTTTGCATCAACTCCATTATCAACATCAATCCCAGCATCAAATGAGATAATGTAGACATCAGGTGTGGTTAGTCCAAAGCTAGCCATCTTCACCATCAAAGTTCAGAGATACCATTGTGCTGCATATATTAATATCACCATTGACTTGCTGCTTTGATGATGTCTGTATATAAAGCAGAACTCACCCTGGAGAAGCAAATATGACAACCTTTTCACTAATACTAAGGGGGGTTCAACACAAAAGTGTACTTCTGGATAGGTTTCGTTGGCAGGTGAGGAACTGAAAGAAAAAAAATAATATTAGTGTAGATTGACAAGATAGAACATTAAGATCTTACCCTTAGGCAAATCCAGCTCTGAAAATGAGCATGAGCATTTCACACCTGGTTAGTAATGGACAATAATTGTCAGATAGTTAGGTGACAATAGAATTCCAACATGACAAATATAGCATCCACCTATAATAACCTTCTCACAATAAGACTATATTATTACCATGTCTACTCTATGTCCATACTACTATGTCTACTCTACCCATGTCCCCAACACCCGAGTTTACCTGGCTGAGTAAGTGGCAGCTCACGAAAATTCTCTCCCCAGTTTCTAACTTCCTCACTCCACTTACGAACCTCCACCTCTCCTTCTCTTCCAGTTTCCCCCTCTCCTCCTTCCACTCTGCCCGCTCCGCCGCAGTCCCCTCATCTCCCCACAGCTTCTTCTCCAACATCGTCAGTCTCTGCCCATATCCTTCCTAACGCTGCCTTTGTCTCATCAAGCTGCACTTTCGCATCATTCAACTCTCCCAATTTTTCCCCCCGAAAAGCAGCTTGACTGGAATATGGAAGGCTGGGTAGACGCTTGAAAGAGCGGAGACAAATGATGGATGGTAATCGTTAACCAACAAACATTCCCACACGACACAAAGCACTACGCACCAACGTACATAGCAAATCTAGGGGTTTCAAGTCTCATTTACTTTTTAAAGTTAACGAAGTGGATTATTGAAAGTAGACGCGTATACTGGTATAGTTTGGTAATAGTAAAATCCCGGTACTAATAGGATCACATGATTGTCATTTCAATGGCATACATCATGTGATTTGAGTTTCATAGCGAGCTTGGATCTTGAGAGGATCTCACACAAAACGACATGATAAACATTCGTGGTAGGTCCAAATCTCGATAACCTTCCTATAAGGAACATATTGGTAACAACATAAAATTTGGACTGCGTAGAGCTCTCCCAGGAAGGTCACCCACATGAGGACGAGGTGACCATCGCTGAAGTGAATGGGTGCCTTGGTATGACGTCTATCTCAATTCAAAGTACGCGATAATTCAATATCCAATTCTGATTTATTCCTTTTTAAAAAAATTTCAAGTCCATTTGGGTGAGGTTCAAGATGAAAGACTGACCGTGTATACACTTGCCGAGGTACTCGTAAAGAACATTGAAACCCCTTTAAAATATTCATATTCACTTCATTGATGCGCATATATTCCGAATTAGGGCGTATTATATCCTGCTTTAAAATTACCCTTCGACTTCGCCTTCCATGAGCTTCATTCATCAGGTCCGCAGTTGACTCCTCGGCGGTCGCTTCGTCGCGATCCTGTCACAGAAATCGTAGAACAACACATAGTTCAAACCGTTGTCGGTCCAGCTGTATGGTTAAGGACAGCGATCAGTGATACCGTACAGAATCTAAAGGAGGCGGCATTTGGCGCTTTACCAACTGCTCTAGTAACACTAATATCTGCAACCAACGTCAATGACTTTCTTACGAGGTTACAGATGGAAAACAGTAGATATCCTTCCAGATTGCTCACATGGCATTCATATAAATCTGTCATCGCTTTTGTCCATCGGTTGGGCGCTGTGTTCTTGTATGATCTTCGTAGCGAAAGTATGACACAGTTGTTATCGGTTATGGACTATAAAGTTTCATCTTACTTACATGGACATTGAATGATTCAGATTGGTTTCCGGAGGTATTAGAGAATGATTTACAAAAGGATATAACGTGTATAGAGTGGAAACCATTGGGTGGAAACATCTTGGCGGTTGGATGTCGGTGAGTCACGGTTGTGAAATGAAAATTATTTCGATACTTAAGATTTAACGCGAGATTGTATATCGAACAAGACGCGGGTTATGCTTGTGGGAATTGTCACTTCGTGTCGAAAACACAAGGCAATCAGACGAAGACGGAATTGCTGCACCGTTGTCAGCGTGGATGCATTATCTTAACTATCCAGGGCATGACAACATTGTTACGCTTGCATGGCATCCGAAAGGAAGATATCCTTTGGGAATTGCTTCTTTGTGAGAGAACTCTCTATACGCATTTGATTTCTTAATAAATGACAAACATTGTTAGCGACGGGCTCCATAGATGGATCTATCGTAATATGGGATACGGCTTTTAACACGAGTATGCCATTAAAGGGTGCCGGTACGGTTGTATTATTAAGTTGGAGTTCAGATGGAACATATCTATTCTCGTCGACGTTGTGGGTACAATTGCACACGGTTCTGTTACATCCATTACGATTGTTAATAGCTGAATTAACGTCTTCCGAATAATAACTCGTGCGTAGGAGTGGTTATTGTATATTATGGGAAACAAACGAATGGATACGGGTAATCTTTCGGAGCCCAGCTGAGGGTTATGTAAAGGTATGTAGAACACTTTATCTATTGTTAAAAGATGAATCTCTAGCAAAATATACTTACCTTATAAACTGATAAGTATTTACTCATTAGACTGCATGTTGGTTAAACAATAGCCGAGCACTGTTTATGGCATGCTCGAATGATACGAAAGTATACACATTGGTCATAGATCCAAGTCTGCATAGAGAATGGCGACCAGTCGATGATGTTGAGATTCGAGAGGACTACATGACCATTGGTCCAGAAGAGTAAGTTGTTCAATGTGCAAATTTATCTAATATCTTGGGTTCTATCTAACTCTTCACCTATCGACAGTCTCGGTGACGAAATTCGTCATATGGTTATAGATCCGAGTAGTAAGCGTCTCGTTGTCAATTGTGAGGACAAGAGATGTCTAGTTGTATATCAAGTAAAAGCTCCGACGGAAGTTCCATCTGGATCAAGTTTGTTAACTCGTCTTGGATACATACGCGGTCCATATGGAAGCCAGCCCGAGCTATCACTGGAAGACGTCCCCGAAGAGAAACAGTCTCCTACATCAGTTACAATGGCTTTCGCAAAGCAATTTGTTAGAGGTGCTTTGCTATGTCTGGTATGTGTAGATCATGTTTTAGGTGTGAGTAGAATTATGATGTGGTATGCTAAACTTTGTATTTCGATTAGGTCTGGGCTGACGGGAAGGTGTCATTCATACCTTTCATGTTTGGACCAAAGAAATAAATAATCTTTGATTGATGATGAGTATGTGTAATACTGCACTTCTCTCAACGAGTGAAGGCAAATAAAAACTAATCATAAACATGTAACATACGTTTAATTTGACTTTATTAACTATGTTAATATTATAATGTTGTATCTGAGGTTCGTTATTATTCTGAAGCGTTAATATTTATGGCAATCCGGATGGATTGTAACATATCAATAGTAGGCATTACTACTATTTCTTGCATGATCTCCGGAGAGAATCAAGGCTCTATTAAGCAATGCTCGTCGGAAGAAAAACTCTAAACTAATAAACTTAATGGCAGCAATAAATCTATATATAGGAGTGAGTATGTATATGAAAAATTATAATTACAACGGTTCCACTGAATATGAAAAAGCATTACGTTTCTTGGGATTAGGGTGCAATTGTGGTTGCTCAAAAATGATTCCGAGAGAAGGGTTTGCCGAATTACGTGAAGGCGTTTCAAGCTTCGAACAAGATATATTTTCAATGGCCGAGCTGAAAGCAATGAATGGTGGTGAGATAACTGCCAGCCGACGTCTTGGAAAGAAAACGCGTGCTAATAAAAAAACTTTTTATTATTGGGATCGCAATACGCCACTTTGTCAGAAAACGTATTGGAAAACGTCAGAAATCATCTGGCAACGAATGGTATAATACTGCGTGCAAGTTCATGGTAATGTAAAAAGAGTGCCGTGATGAAAACCCAAAATAATAATTGATATAACCGTTGCTACAGCCGTGAAGAATTTTCTCTTGAAATTCAACCGAATTACTCCATCGCTTATACTCTTACCAGCCGAAACGAATTACAAATCGGTCTATCGCAATTGTATCGCAGGTTTATGATGCATTTCGCAAGTTATGGCACGCTTGACATCTTACATTCAAATCATGAGCCCAAGAACGAATTTATGCGATACATGTCAACATTTTCGGAATGATAATGCTCGCAAGGAAGGAGAAGCAAAAGATTTACTGAAAAATACGAAGAACATCTAGTTAAGACTAATTTAGAGAGAAACTATTACAAAATTAGCAGAGCAACAAATTAATATTGTGGCGGAAGGTAAATTTAATTATTCTAATATTGACGTGATTGCTCATTACAGCTACGATTGAGCACAAATGTCCCCCATTCCGACCAACAGTAAGTAAGATTTATTATCTTCAAGATGAGACAGTACGCGAACAGATTAATTGCGTTCTTGGTGAAGACGAATTATTATTATAGGGAAAGGCCCTAATGGTACACTGAACGGGGGGGGTATTCGAAATTAAGGTAAATAGTATTTAAAGATTACTTGCGATAATGCGGGAGGACAGAATAAAAATAATGCCACCATTGATATTTACTAATTTGCGGCTATTATGAAAGTATCGAATTAAATTTTATGACACTAAATTCAAGTGTCTGAAGGTAAGCTGCTCCTCTTCTCTGAGATAGCGTGATGGTAATTTTGGACTGTAGATTGTGTAAATCATATTGTTGAAGTTGCGAAAAGATCGAGTACAGCTGGATTAAATAAATCTCAGCGTTATGACAATGGAAAGGGTTTTCAGTACTTAGATCTTAATTCCGTGTTGGGGATTTTCTTTAAGAAACTGAATCGTTTACAAAAATGTCAACATTTTCTTTTTGTAGCAGCTAGATACAAAGTGAACGAAATTTGACTAAACGAAGTTAAAAATGTTCAGCAATTTCTTTAATGTGGTGAACGCCTCCCCTAAAAAAATACTAATTATTTCAAATCGTTAGAGACCTCTTCGTAAATCATGACTCGAACTCTGTAATTTTATTGGTTGACATGTTCCGCACTACAGTCTACCTTTATTGTTAAATTTGCAGTAAAACGTAATAGCAAACAGTTACCTTTTTACAACGAAGGTATACCGAAAATTATATAGAACTTCCTTATAATGAGGAAACCTGGATATAACGAAGAAAAGGGCGGAATGGACCACTTCGTTATATCCACATTCGCTGTGTAATAATGCACCGTTCGCTCATTTACTTTCACAAAAATTATTAAATTCATCTTTCCACCATACTGTAGAATGCATGCTTATGCAATTCAGCAGAAGGCATGGATAATACTTAAAATTAACAGCTCGCTTTAAATATCTCGATACGGTCTAGCACTAGAGGCAGTTTAACAACATGCTTATTAGACACGCGCTTAACATCTTTTCTGTTACACATTGTATAATGTCAACCTACTGTACGACAACAAACAAAATCAAAGTCTTGGGTTTCTATCAAGCTTTGCGAACATAAAATGAAAAGAAAGAGGATTATAGACGTTGAAGAAACAATCGAGAGTAGCACAATAAATCAAAGATGGAAACCTCGAATGGCTATGAATTCGACGCTGGACAAATTTCTTGCTTCAAACAGACCATTTCGAGATCATAAAATGGATGCAGTTACAAGCGGTCAAATGGATAAGAAGCCACCGCTTCTTCAACAAGTCTACGCATCTCACTTACGCTCTCCTCACAAACTCTCAATGACTGATGCGGAAGTTTTCTATTACTCGTCGTTCCTTTCTCCCACTAATTGCACTTCTCTCTACTCCACTCTAACGTCGCTTCCATATTGGCAACGCCCGACATTCAAAATCTTTGGCCGACAAGCTCATGCGGCTCGCCTCACTTGCAGCTTCAGCTCGCATCCAGATAAAGAGTATCGTTACTCGGGTACCATTGCTGGTGCCGACGCGCCAACGTATCCCTTACCGATTAAACAAGTAAAGGATAGTTTGGAACATTTACTTGATGAAAAGTTTAACTTTGTATTATTAAACTGGTATAAAGATGGAAACGATTCGATTGGAGAGCATGCAGATGATGAAAGAGGATTGGTTCCCAATGGCAGCATTGCATGTGTCTCTGTCGGAGCAGAACGAACATTGGTTTTCAGAAAAAAGAATGAAAAAAGTCAGGTGAAGAAAGTGATTTTAGAAGTCGGGTCACTGATTGTTATGAAAGGTGAGACCCAGAAGTTTTGGAAGCACGGCATTCCAAAAGAAAGGAAAGTGCTTGGAGGGAGGATTAGTCTTACATTTAGGCAGTTAGAGTGAGCAGCGAGTGCAAATAACTCAAAGTTGCAGAGACTTTACGATCCGATGATATACCGAATTCAGCGTGATTTGTTACCATTCTAACCGAGTTGTATATTATTTAGTCTTTATTATTCGTAATTTTCCTGGAGAATATTTGTAGTTATCGGCATACACTTTCTTTACAAAGTTCTCTTTGTGTGGTTCTTGTACATAGTAATCCCAACCTGACAATTGAAAATTTAGGTAAATAATTAATAAGCTGAAACAACAATAATAAATAGCAGTATATGAGTTCATTTGTTTTATAGAAACCTTGTTTCTCAGCAAAGAAAATTGCATCTTCCTTCGTTGCAAATTTCATTTGAATTGCTTGCACGGGATCAGCACTAAGACAAATAGAAGCCATTGAGACGAAAATTAAATATCGATCGATTCTATGCCAGTACTTACCTGCTCATCCATCCCATTAAAGGGTTCTCCCATCTTCCACCCCCTTCCAGAATATCAAAATCAATTCTCCACTGTTTGGTATTATGGGTACCGGACTGCATCGCTGTCCTCGCCGGATTAAAAATTCTTACGGTTCTAAACTTTAAATTTTCTATGAAATAACACAGTTAGCATGGAATGAAAAGTTCGAATACCACAACAATCATTTCTCCTCACCAGGCGCTCCAGAAACAACATCAGCTGCAAGCACCTCTTTAGATTCAGTCTTGGTAAGGGATTGACTTTTCTCTTCCTTCGATTCTTCTTTCTCCGGAAGGTTGGTACTATAACTACGTAGCGATGTGGCAGCCGAGAGACGACTGGGTGGATAAAGGAGAGAGCATAGTAAGCCTCGTTGGCAAGCGAGGCGGACAGCCATTACTTCTACGAAATGCAACAAAAATGTGACGTTGATTTATTTAACCATGTCGATCAAATCGTTATTATCCTCCATTTTAGTAAAATACTATGTTTTAGTTTTCAGAAAAATGCGAGCAATGACTTGACAATTTTGAAGGGAAACAGTATAAAAAATTTCAAGCAAGCGGGTTGGTTATGTTCTTTTTCAATTGCACAGCTAGTCATTAACTGCTTATGGCCCAGAAATTATCCAATTGCCGTTACGATCTCGCCATGAAAATATAAGCGCTCAGTTGCCACGACTCCTGCAGTTGACGCGCGCGCGCGCTAAACCATGTGTATAAATTGAAATTTCTTAGACGCATTGTAGATAATTAATTAGGTGATGCCAGCTTGTAGCTATTCAATTTTCTTCTCACACCGCTACTTCTTTTCCCCTCTGCAATATTTGAGGAACAAAAACTCGTGTTGTAATGGTCAAATATAAGATACGAGGGATGAACTGGATGCTATATTCATAGGTTGGGCCGAGTGTCTTCTGCAGGAAGAATGTTTGCTTTGATTGGATAATAATTATGATTACGCATATTTCCTTATGTAAATCGACATTCTAATAATCCTTTCTCAGGTTGAATAATATCGCATGTCAATTGTATGACGGACATTCCCCAACTAACCTTTGTTCCAACTTTTAATATTGACGTTTCTCGATATTTATTATTTTCTATTCAGTCTTGTCAATAAATATCATTCTCAAGACAGACGAATTCATTATTAATAAATTCCTCTGTATCAAAGTTTCGGTTATCCTTAGCGGGATGAATAACAGTTACTAAAAATAATATTGTGTCTAATATCTGTATCCTAATTAATGTCTCCTGTTATAAATGATTCTTGCTCATGCAGCCGGGCCCGGGTAATTCACGTACACTTCCGATAGAAGACGAATAGAAATTAATAAAATAGGACTGTTGTGTGAAGAACAGCTCAAACAGATATATTGACCCGAATAGGGAAAGGAACCGATTTACAACAAACAATAATTTTTAATCGAACAGTATATTAATTAAAAAGGGAAGCGGTTAATTTCGACGCGTATTTTTAAGGGCACAAAACTCATTTGTTAATGACGTGACGTTTTCGGTATAGATATTTATAACTCATTCTAAAAGGCTTTCCGCAAGTCTGGTTCCCATATATTATATTATGCCAAACCAAACCTATTCTCGACCAGGTAACTCATCAATTGCGTGACTCAAGGCTAGCCAGAATGTCCTTGATAGCAAATAACAATTCATGAGACCACGATACTACAAACAGTTATTCTCAAAGATTACTTTGTGATTCAATACCTGACACTTGTTAATGTTTCTCAAAAACCAATCTCCATGACGCCTGCCAACCTTGGATTCTGCAATGTGTACCATATCCTATACAGCCATCCGATAAATGTTAGTACAATTGATACACCCACTGTTTGTTCATGGGAGCATCCACATACTTTACCTCTTTAAGACAAAAATCCAAATCAGAAGTAGTCACATACTCTCCTTCGAGTAAAGTACCACTAATCCATTTCTGTTGCCGTGATTTTTGTTTGAATATAAGTAACTGTGTGCGTAATTCCTCTGGTTCCATTTCCAGGAATTTAGCAAGCTTATCGATGCCCATTGTGGTGTATAGTTTTAAGAATGATCGGATAGTAGCCATGTGTATTTGATTCTTCACTTCGTCTTGGAATATCCTCGCGTGATGATGAGGCGGTTCCTACGCAAAACGAAAATATTAAGACTCTCATAGTATAACAGAATATGTAAAGTCATATTACATACTATTGTCAACAGCCAGCTGGACGGGTCTTCAAAATTAGGACCGTTTGGAGAGATGAATTTAGGACACGCGTAAAGAAACAGGTCTTCGAATACCGGCAATGCTTCTTCCCTACAAAACAATAAATGCATAGGTTATCTTGTCAAGTCGTCTCTTTTTTCTCGCCAATGACGTGATTATGCTTGCCTACCCTTTCTGCATCTTCGACAGTTGGTCACCATATTTTTCTCGGAGCAACGTGTGAACATTATCATCCAACCGAGTAGGACAAAGTGCAATACATATTGCCAGTAATGCATACATCTGATCCCCCTTTTTGTTTATCTGGTCGAATTGATAGGAGCGTGTGTGATACATTTTTGTCCGTGTGATGAAAACAAGTATATGTGAGAATGCTCTTATCGCATCTGCATATCGTCTCATCATCATATATGCAAATCCGACGTAGTAGTAAGTTGTTACGTGACAAGCCGTTACTCTCGCAAACAGTGCCTGGAATAGAAAATCGTATAAGAATGTAGCGATTAAAATAATTGCATCAAGAGAGAACCGCGCAGGCTCAGCTTACTTTCTTATTCAATTCAATGTTATCCATCATCTTTAGTGCCAAAGTGTAATCTCCCAGCAGACAATGAACACGCAATAGTCCAATGATACTAAAATATCCAAGCATCTTGTATAGAGGACGAGAGCCATATTCACCAGCTGCTTCACTATTGTAAACCATTAGCAAATTTATTACGCGAGAAATATTTTAATAATATAACAAGAACACGCACGTCATATCGCCTCCATTTTTACTGGCGAGCAGTTGTTCCATTATCCTTGATTTTGTTATGAGTGAATATAAGACATTCAATACACTATAACAACTCCACACCTGGGTACAAATTAAAGTTAGAGCGTGAAATATAGTATGTATTATTTTGTATAGTGCCACACAGCTAATTGTCAACCTGAATATTGTCCCTCAGCAAAGCTATTTCTTCTTCACTTTTAGTCCTAAGTCTGTTTCTGTAGTTACAGAATGACTGAAATTGATAAATAAACTCATCGATTATATCCCATAACCATTGATTTGGTAGCTCGAGTCCAACTGGTCCGTCAGAATCTACGAATACGAAGGACGACCTAGTTAATTCCTTGCTCTCTCGGTTCTCCAAGATAAATCCTAGGACCAAACACTTACTCAATATATAATTAAATAGATCGCAATAATTCTCGTACGATGCAAACCGATGATCAATCGTAGGAGTCAATTTGGAGTAAATGTGTCGAAAATACAATTCACGATATAGGGTCAGGAAAACCTGGTCTGCAATGTATTAAGTTAGAATCAAAGAGAGCAACATTCGGAACAAGTGGATAAACACAAGCAAACAAAATTCTCACCGTTATCGACTAGCGGAACAATATAATCAGCCTCGGGCCAAGGAGATTTCGGATAATAGTGTTCAGTCAATCGATTAAAGGAATTTTCATAAATCCCATGTAACTCGTACACGTTATTCTCCAATATATTACGATGGAAATACACTATGAAATTTCTCACGACATCGGGGATTTCAACTTCTTGCGCATATTGCTGTTGCTGATGCAGGGCGAGTTTTTCTAATAAAAAATGACAGATTTTTTTCTCTTTAATTAGCCACGATTTCTGGCTTTGTTATTAATGTATGAAGATTTAGAGATTACCCTCGTCAAGCATGTCATCATTAACACCAGTGTAGGGACTGTTGGCTACCACCAGATCAATCTCCAAGTCAACGTCTTCCTCGAATGCTTCATACATATTTACGACTCGTCAGAAAATATTAATGCAGAAATTTATCTTCGATCTACAAAAAAAAGTTTTAAATCTCATACACGTGATTTGTAAATCAATACAATTATTTATTATTATTATTTATTGGGCCAAATGGTTAGACAGTTGGTTCCGTGGATCGAGTATAGGCAAGAAATAAGGCCAAGAAACCATAGCAGAACCAAGTCACAGTTTTTTGTTCTGTAACGGGTAGAATCTGTCTCGTCCGTATCAATATCAAATCAGAGTTCGAATGCTCTCAGTGCAATGTTGTTTGCGTGATACGAGCACTAGTATGAACAACTGCTAAAAAACTGTCTTTTATGTAACTTGGACTTGGCATGATTCGATCGTCGTCTTCCCCAGTAACACCTTTTGACCGAGAATGGAGTCAAACATTGGGATTGAATCGAATACTAACCATGAATTAAGGGAGTATTCACATGATGGTAGAAATGTGTGCTGTTATAGTGCGTCTTACTAATATGGGAGTTAATCTGTAAAATAATGCTTTACATTTTTTTTGTGTCATCGAAAAGATCGAGAACGGCCACCCAATGAGATTTGGTTTTATAATCGAGGAGAAGCTTATTTTGAGTTATCTAATTTTGCAGAGGGATTTCCAATATTGGCATATCTTCCAATATCATCGACAAACAAAGCGATGATAGATAGCACATGTCAAGACAAGTGGCCTACGAGTGAGGTACACTATTAATATTTCTTGCTTGTAATAAATAGTCGATGTAGTAGTGGTCACTATTGTTAATTATAATATTGCATTACCTATATGCATGCATGTATACCGTACATTCCTAGCACCTCTTCCAAGCAATGAAGTTCCGAGAAACTCGACCTGACATTGCAGAAAAAATTAGGCACTGTAGTTCAGCGCGCGACGCGTTGAATCTGTCTCGTCTCCATCCAGAATTCATAGATCCCACGTGGCATGAAACGAAATTAGAAGTTATGGAATGGGTGGTGAAACAGAAATTTACTCAACACAAGGTACTTGCAGACATTTTGCTGGCTACTGGCGACAAAATTCTCGTTGAGCACACACAGTTTGACAAGTTCTGGGGCGATGGCGGAAATGGCCAGGGAAATAATCATTTGGGGAAGGTACTGATGAGAGTCAGGTCGTCTATCAGAGAGGCACGAATGTAATTAGGAGAGCAGAAATGAGGTTGAGGCTAAGTTAGTTATCATGTCAACATCACCTCATCTGCAGATTTCAACACGTTAGTCCAATACTTAGTTAGTCGTAGTGATGGTGATGATTGGACGGTTCTAGCCTTTTAACATAGAACTTATTAATAATTTTACATAACAACGCGTGTATGTCTCTTTATGAAGAGGGAGACTTTTATACACAAAAGACACGAGTTATACACAAATTACGTATGGGTTTTATGCAGATATGCATAATTCGCCCGGCATATTTAGCTCAGTTATGTGCAACGCGAGAACAATAATAACAAAGTTTTTACTAGCTCATTCATTCTTCATATTTCCGTTAGAAATAAATTCTATATAATGCAATCCTATAACGCATCGAAAAAACGATTGGTATTGCAAGCAGAAAACGAGCCGTTCTGGAAGACTATTCCAAGGCATTCAATAGCATAATCATATTATCCAAATTGCTAAAGTTTTGTGCATATGTAACAAATCTTTTTACTCTCTATTTTTTAGAAAGTTCTTATATCGCGAAAGTTTGTTAAAAGAAATTGCTGTTATAATAGATTTTTGGTCCGACCCGACGACTTATAACGAATTTTACTTGTATAATGCTGTACAATTAATTACACACAATAATGAAAAATATGCAGCACACGAGTTATATGCAGATTACGTATAGGTTTTATGCAGACATGAATAAATTACCCAGGAGTTTCCCTATGTATGTGCAATGGGATAAACAGGTTTGAAACACGTGATAACATAATCATCATTATTTGTTAGAGATTTGCAGAGATGCGAAGAGATTGCGTCGGCTGTATTATTACGTATAGTCGTTATATGCTGGAAATGTTGCAACAGGCACTTTTTATACTATACGTCTACATTTGTCACATGGAACATATAAAGTTTCTTCGATATCTCTTATCTAAATAACAAGCAAGGTTTCTTACACGTACCTAATTACTTCGAGATTATTATTATCTCATGTCTGTGTGGCAATGTTTAAATTTATTATAACCAGTAAGTGAGCTTTTTGAGGACATCAAAGTGAAATAAACATAGTAATAGAGCAGCTATGCAAATACTTGAAAATTAATTTCATACAACTTACTGCAAAGTCATGTACAGTATATATTTGAAAGAGCATGACAATTATTATTGTGAACGATAAAATGTTCATGTGACTTTGCGCTACCGAAATTAGAATTGCAAGTATTTCGAATTTCGGAATTCTAATACTTGTAGCACAAATTTAAT